CACCAAATTCAACTATGTGATTCACAAATACAAAACCAAATCACATATAACCATATAAACAAACAAAACACCAAATGAAATCTCCTGATGAGCATGCAAAAACACTAAATAGACTAAAACAATAGAATCAATCGAAAAACAACAAACGAATGAACCACATAGGTAACAATGTCCAGTTTTGTAAACAACTAAAAAAATACCAGCAAAATGGACATAGATCTATTGCATGCTTCCATGCTCACTGAGATTGAAACACCATATTCACAAATAAAACCCTGAACATTCGCAAATAGGATCAATAAACACACCACCAAAATGGAAAAAGATCTATTGCATGTCACAAACAGAATATCCCAAATGACGAAGACATCGATGAATACACAAAACCCCTTCAAATGGGGTTGCGAAACCCCAAAAGACGAACACACCGACAAACTAACTAACGAAATCCGAACCTCAGTTGAAACCCTAAAACCTTTTACTGAAATAAACATGCATTTCATACTTTCTAATTAACAAACTTCAAAAGAAATCCCCTTTTGAAGAGTAACCTCATACAAATAAAGCACAAACCTAATTTGGAAGATGATATGATAAAAATGAAGCAAACACAGTAATAGAAAGAAAATGACTAACGAAATGTGGTATGTGGAACGGAGGGTACACGGTGAACCTTCTTTGATGGAGCTTTTGGTAGGGAGAGTAGGTTTTAGAGCACCGGAGCCAGAGATGCGGTAGAGAGAAGAGGAAAAATGAAAATGAAATGGGTAGGGAGATGAAGAAAATAAAACATATTTAAATAGGCTGAGGGTTGTGACACCCTCTAAATGTGACACCCTCTACCCCATCATTAATACACAATAAACGTAAACAACAATTAAATTTTTCTTTTTCTTTTTCTTTTTGAGTAAATAAAACCTTTCATAATTTAATAACAACTTTAATGAATAAAATAATTCCTTCAAATATCAAAAGGTAGAAGATTCACATTCGTAACTTATAAATCATAAAAAGTCATCATGTAAATATCAAAATTCAAGAAGTCATATAAAGGAAAATATAGATTAATGTTTCCAACTTAACTTTTTAGGCATTTTTCTTACTCTGGAACGGCCCGTTTCACTTTGGGAACGGCCCGTTCCGGAAAAACCCAAATAGACCTTTTTACATATTTGGAACGACCCGTACCGCTTTTGGAACGGCCCGTTATTATTATAATAATAACTTTATTGAAAACTGGGGTGTTATAAAGATCAGACTTATCTAACTCCATATGGTACTTTTCTATAAAACCTCTCTCTAAAACTAAAGGAAATAAACTTATGAAGTTTATATTTTCCTAAAATCTTATATATCTTTTTTTGGTTCTTGGTCAAGTTTGACCTTAGCTCAACCAACTCTAAACAACACATCACAACAACACAAAACAACATATAACATCATAAAACATCTCAAATGATCAAACAACTCATAACATGCTTGAAAGAAAAATATATAGTGTTACATCTTTTGGATGGTTGTTGGTTAGAAGTTGCTCTCATCAAGTTGTATAGATGTATAGACTAGATATAGGACTTTTGTTTTGTTGAGGTGTATATATAGTATATGTTCAGGGATGTTGTAATCTCATAAGGAAATTTATGTTTTTAAATCCTAAGGAAATGTTGTTTTATGTTTATTCCTTGTATCTTTATTGATGGGAACAAAAAAATCTTCTTTTTTTTACGCATAATAATAATGATGAGAAACATATTAAAATAACACCATAAAACACTACAAGAAATTTTAAAATTACAGACGACCAAAATCTGTGGGTAATCCAAAAAACCTGTGGGTAACACTTCATTTCCGACAGATTACAAATAGACAATAATCCGTCAATCAATCTGTGGGTAATACTTCATTTCCGACGGAATTACCCACGAATTTTACCTACGAATAAAATTCGTGGGTATTGTTGATAATATTTTTAAAAAATCATTTCGAAATTATATTAAATAACATCCTTATTTAGTGCAATATCTTTCATATTTGACCTTTCAACAGCTCTACTCCATGACACATCATGCAACTCCTTGTTGGTCAAAATCTTTCATCGATCAGAATCCTTCATGGGTAACCCTTTTGGAGATATTCATCCGTTTTTAGGATCAAAGGTTGATCCCACAAATCAACACAAGACTTTTCAGTCTGTCTTGTCGTCACTCGCACATTCTTCTGGAAAAATTTCCAAAAGATTACTCATCCCTAAATTACTCCATGTCAAACACGCTTAACTGTAAAGTTCTTAAGGAATAAGCTACCAGAGAGTAGATGCATCTCATTAGTATAAATAGTACAAATTAATTTCTTTAAGTCATCTTCAACTATACAATCTCAAACTTGTACAATCTTTGGATCCCTCTCATTCTAGTATATTTCACAAATTACAATATAATATAATACTATAACTTTTTATCTAAATTAAAAAATAATAATATTTTAGTCAGTGTATTTCACAAGTTACATTTTTATTATATATAATTAAAATTTATAATAAATTATATATAAAAATAAATATTATGTTATATCAATAAATCATATTTAAAATTTGTATAAATATATATTAAATAAAAATTAGTAACTAATCAAAGAATAATTAACTTCTATATATAAAACACAAATGTCTTTCTTGTGCCATAGCGTTTTTAGAGACTTTTCTTTAAATAGAAGAATTTTATATATTTTTATATTCTTTTATCTAATTTATTTTTTATTTAATTATTATTTATAAATTAATTTTTTTATTTTTAACAATTTATTAATAAAAAATAATTACCTACAGATTTATCCTTGGGTAATTACCCGCGGATACATCCATGGGTAATTCCATGGGTAATTATCTAATTTAATTTTTATTTATCATAATTACTTATAAATTTATTTTATTTTTTTAACATAAATTATTAATAAAAAAATAATTACCCATAGATTTATCTGTGGGTAACCCACAGATTTATCCATCAGTAATTACCCACGGAATATCCATCAGTAATTACCCACGGATACTTCTGTCAGTAATTCTGTGGGTAATTATGTAATTTAATTTTTATTTATCATAATTACTTATAAATTAATTTTATTATTTTTAACAGATTATTAATAAAAAATAATAATTACCCACGGATTTATCCGTCGATAATTGCCCACAGATACATCCGTGGGTAATTCTGTGGGTAATTATCTAATTTAATTTTTATTTATTATAATTATTTATAAATTAATTTTATTATTTTTAACATAAATTATTAATAAAAATAATTACCCATAGATTTATCTGTCAATAATTACCCACGGATTTATCCGTCGGTAATTACCCACGGATATTAATCCATGGGTAATTATCTAATTTAAATTTTATTTACCATAATTACTTATGAATTAATTTTATTATTTTTAAAATAAATTATTAGTAAAAAATAATTATCCACGGATACATCTGTTGGTAATAACGTCGGTAATTTCGTGGGTATTGTTGATTATATTTTTTAAAAAATCATTTTAAAATTGAATTAAATAATAATCTTGTTTTATTAAAAACAATATAGTTCAAAATTGGTAAAATTATTATAAATGTTAAGAAATTATCTTTTAATTTTATACTATCATGCATCAATATATCATTTCATTAATTATATATTTCTCAATTTAAATAAAATTAACTATATAATATTAAAATATATTGATAGTAAATTATCATTTTATACTATCATTTAATTATAAATTTTATATACATAATAGTTGGTATGGTAAATTAATTAGCATGAGAAAATTAGTTAAATATTTAAGAATTTCATTTGTTAATCTTTTATCATTAAATTTTTTTAAGTTATCGACGAATTTTTTTGCATTTTCTACGAACAACGTTTTAGACAGATAATCCATGGGAAATATCTGTCTAAAACATCATAATTTTCCCACGGAAAAAATTCGTGCATAACGTCCATCTGAAATTTCAAACAGAAAAAATTTGTGGGTAATATCTGTCGGAATCATTTATGTTTCAAACGGACACATATCCATCAGAAAAATCGTCGGTAATGTCATTTTTCATACAGATATTTATCCGTGGGAAAAAGTCCGTTGGTAATAAGTTTTTTTTTGTAGTGAAAGAAATTGAGAAAGATCACACAAATTTATTTAACGTAGTTCAGCCTCTCATGCTTACGTTCACAAAGATGTTCATTATTTATCTCAAAATGTGTTATATATATCCTAAAAATCCTCCCTTCAAGTTTTGTGACTTAAACTTGAAAACTCCTTCCTCACAAGTTTTATGGGTAAAACTTAGAAACTCTTTTCTCGCAAGTTTTCTAGCGAAACTTGAAAACTATCATTTACAAGTTTTTTGATGAAACTTGGAAACCCTTCTTTATATGACATCTTCTATCATTTAAGACGGTGACCCCCTCTACAGTGATTCTTCTTATCTCAAGAGTCTCTATTTATTGCCCTTACATTACAATCTTAAAAGAGGAAACAAATCTCTAAAATAAATACAATATATTTCAATTCTAAATAATATCCTAAAAGAATCAATATCTTTTAAATTTTAAATACTATCTTAAAGATTTGAATTTGAAATTTTGAATTATTTTCCCAATACTTATATATATTTTATATGTGCATGTATATTCAGGTTCTACTTGCATGAGAATCTTAGGATAGAGAAGGTTACGTTTTTTGTCTTATTGCTTGTATGTTGTACTCGTACGATGGTTATCAAGTCGCTATAATTCCCTAGCTGCTATTGTCTTTTCTTAAAAATATGAAAGAGACAACAATTTAACCCCTACAAAAGATATTATTAATTAGTTGAATGAGTACATTATGTAATTCTTGAAGAATCAAATACATACTTAAGTTTTGATAACCTTTATTCAATACATGAAATGTTGACAGGCCTGATTATGTACAATACCACTGAATTTTTAAATACAAACATTGCATATGAAGAACAATTGACTAAAATGTTCAAATATCGGACCAGAAAGTTGCAGCAGTATTGGTTTCACATATGCTTCCTTGGTATATATGTATATGTCATGATTTTTAATTGTGTACGTGTAGCAGCTGGATTTTCTCACAATTATTCGTAAATCTTTTGTAATCATCGATCACTGGTTCTTTTGCTTAAGATGCCATTCTGTTTTGGCTCGGACCAACTCCGCTTTACTGTCTTGTAGACGAAGCAGATGTATATATTGCAGATCGGGTTTTCTGTTATTATTAGAGTCACCAACGACGGTGGATGATGAACAAGTCAGTGATTCCAACACATCTGAATGCCTACATTCACGCCGAAACTCTATTGTCATGCTTGTCAATTTATAATTTTCTAATACTTCTCTTGTCACGCTCTGCACCAACCAAATCAACATATACGCCAAATCATTACTTTTCTCTTGCGGAGACCATGTTAATCATTGCCAAATTTTATAACATTGAACAACTACGTTATTTTATGAGTGACTATTTTACGAGTGCACATCCAAATCAACTATTCTATAACATGCCAAATGTTAATGGTAAAATATAAAGTATAGCTATCATTGCCACGTTATTTTTTTCATAGATTGCAACTTTTTTCCTTGTACGTTAAGTACCTCTAAGATCCATCTGATGTATTTAGAATTGTTAACATGCTGGTTTGCATCGATGTCATTCCACGTTGGCTGGATTGCATGCAGATAAAATAAGCAGTCAATACAATGATGTAAAATTACAATCCAATTAATTGTGGGACTAAACATTTGTGTATCAAACTTACAGCCATCCCATAGCGAAATGTCTCAGCATTGGCATCAGTAACCTTTGGTATCTTCTGATGATCTATTTCTTCAGAGGAAATGGCATGCCTATTAAAGCAGAAAGGATTAAGTTCTTGTCTAACTTCATCAGGTATCTTGGACAATCTTCTTGTTTCTCTATTCATGAACGCCCAAGTGCTGCATCAACGAAATTTCGAGAAAAGATATATAGTGGTTCAAATATTATGTGGTTAGTTATTAATTATGAAAAATGGAAAGGATGAACTATAGTACCTGGTTGCTTTTGCTATGATCTCTTTGGTATAATGATCCCTTATTATCCAATTTATGCGCGTTAAATTCTTTCCCGCAGTATCAAACCAAGTATCAACTTCAATTTCATCCCCCCTGTTGTATTTATTATATTTTAATTTTTCTTTAATCAAGCCATCAATAAATGTAATCGTATTATAATTGTGTACAATATATATAAAATTGCTATAAAAGTAGTATATATAAGAGGCAGGTGCAGTTACCGTTTGCTATATCTCTGTACTTGAACCTGAATACGAGTCACAATCCAAATGAGTTTGCGAAGCTTCATTTCCCGAGTTTCTCCAAAATCGTTCTGACTTCCCCAAATGCTGCTGCCTTGCCTTATAGCAGTTTCCTGAACCAATTTATATTTCATTCCTCTCGTTGATTAATGTACTCTATTTTTTAAGTGTTTCAAAATGAAAGGTCTTGTACGTGCACCGATATGTTTTATATGTGATTATATTATTAACAGTTCTAAAAAAATTGTTGTATAAAAAATTTTAAATTACATACAATAAAATAAATTAATACACAATAAATTTGTTACACAACAAATTATATGTATAAACTTAACAATAAAAAAAATTAGGTAGAGCAACAAACCTATCCTAACCCATCATTTGGTCCAACAAAGTTGGTGGGACAACTTAGATGGGTTAAGATGTTTAACCTAAGGGTAGACTCATTTTTTCATCTCTAATTTTGATGAATAATTAACGAAAAGATACAAATTACTAAAATTTAAAAGTTTGAGAACAAAAATCATTAAAAAAAATTATTTGGAGACAAAATTTGTTAAAAAAGTGAAAGTTCAAGAAATGCAATTAAATATCTATCAAACATAATATATTTAAGTATATTCACATTAGATATGTCACATCAACGCTCATAATATTTTGCCAAACAATTAACAAAAGAAACAAATTACCAAAATCTAAAAATTTAGAAGCATACTTTGTGAAAAAAAAAATCAAAAACAAAATTTGCCAAAGCATGAAACTTTTGGACGCAAAGTGCAATTAATCTTAATTTTAATATAAAGATAGTTAATTAACCCTTACCTCTTATAATAAACTATTGTTTATATATATATGACTTATTTGATGATTATCTTTAAAGTAATCATTGGTGTAAAAAATCCTTTAAGTAGTCGTTTGTTCTATATATACTACACCAAAATTAGTTTTTTGTGGTAATTAATTTATTATTTAGCGGTCATATAAATGATCATTATTTTTTTTTACCAGCTTTTAAATAATGGCTGGTATATCTAGTGTTGCTAGTACTATTACTGATATTTATATAAAATGTCGGTAAAGATCTACTAAATTGTCGAAAAAAATTATTTTTTTTAGTGACAATTCTAGTAGTCATTTTAAAGGCTATTAAAAGTTATTTTTTTCAATTGTCTCCTTTACTTTAAATAATTTATTCTTATAATTTTCTTTTCTAAATTCATAACTCTATATACTTTTTTATCTCTACTCGATGTAGGATTTGTAAGATAAGAGTTGAATTTTATTTATATATTTTTTATTTTTTTAATTGTCTTGTCTCTTAAGAAATGTGAGATTTATAAGGTGAAAGTTGTTCTCTAATTATTTTATAGTACTATTGAACTTGGTAACAATACGTGATTTGATATCAATTTAGAATAGTGAATTAGGAGTCAACCCTATAAAATGTACATGTAAGATGATAGTTATTACTCACTTATATAATATTTAATTATCTTATCTCTAATCGATGTTGGACTTAAGTTTTTTCTAATAAATAGTTGTCACTAATAGTAAACTTTAGTGTAATATAAATACATTTTTAGTGACTATTATATATTAGCCATTAATATTTTTATATACGGCAGCAATTAAATTATTGTCATTAAATAATTGTCATTAATAACAAATTTTGTTGTAGTGATATGATATTACTTAAAATTATAAAATTAATTAATTAAAAAAAGCGAAAGGAGTGAGAAATAAATTCAGTTTTTACATTGTTCGTATTATAAATATTGTGTGAGTATACTGCATTGTAAAAATTTAATTAGGTGAAATTATAAATAAAAATTACTATATACACACAAGATTTGAAATATTGCCAATATGTGTGTAAAAAGAAAATTTTCCATATCATATTTGGATAAAATATAATCGACCTAATTTAATACAAATTATTTTATCTTGTATATTTAGTGGGCAACTTAAATAAAACTAAGGGATGTATTGAATTAAAATTTCAAAATTTCAATAGATTTAAAAAAAATATTATAAATTTTTTTATAGTATTTAATTAAGATTTTTTTAATATAAAAAACGTCATGTGATATTCAATCAACACAATAAAAAAAATTTAAGAGTTTGTCAAAATCTAAAAGTATTCAATCAAGACAATCGAGAAATATTTTAAAGAGTTTATTTGATATTTAAAGATATAGAGATTTCAATAGATTTTTTAAAATATTGGATTTCGTGAGGTTTTTAATATAATTTACATGTAAAACAATCTCACAAAAACCTTTTAGATTTTGTATGACTTTTTTTCCCTTTTTCTTTTTACTATGTCTTTCTTTATTTTCTCTCTTAAATCTTCTCTCGTCTTTGTTGTTTCTCTCTTGTATTTTTTTACTTTTTTTTCTCTCCCGTCATTCTTGTTTCTTTCTTCTTTTTTTCTCTATCGGATTTTCTTTTTATTCATCTTTCTTATTTATCTCTGCTTCTTATTCTTTTTTCTTTCTCCTTCTCTCTCGTCTTTCTTGCTTCTCTTTTTCTTTCTCTCTCTTTCTTCACTATCTCTTTTTTCTTCTATTTTTATTCATCTCTCTCATTTATCTCTTTTTTCTTCTTCTTATCCTATCATTTTTTTATCTATCAATTGATGTATAATTTATCAATATTTATTTTTTTAATTATTAATATTTAAAATGATTTTTATATTATTAAATATTATCTATTATTAAAATTTTAAATTATTAAAATTTAACTATTTATTTTTTAATAAAATTTAATATTAAAATATAAAATTTTGAAATATATATTAATGAAATTTTCAATTTACCTCATACATCCTTAAAAAAATATAATTGAGAGAATATTTACTATTTTTAAATCACTTTATAATTTTTAAGTCAAGACTAATATTTCTATTTAAGACACAAACTGAATTTGTATTACCATGTAGCGCCATATAAACTATCTTCGTAAAGAATGTCATTTTCGGTGAATTTCTAATTGAATTAGTGGACAAATCTTCGTCTTTAATACTACCAATTAATAAAGATCATAATTTTAAACATATTATTCAAACTCAAGTACATGGAAGAAAATATATCAATGCATAAAGAACTAGTATAACTTTAGATATCTAAAAAAAATATTAGTTAAGAGGACATTAAAGTCAATTACTTATCAAAAGATATAGACTATTATTTATCAAAAGTAAAATTGTATTGGTTTTACTTTTGTTATTATTTATGTTATAGTTTTTTTATTAAATCTTGTAATATTACAAATCCATATTTTCATGTGAAATTCATAAAATCCCTTAAAATCTTATAATATAAATCCATCAAAATCTATTAAAATCTAAACTACAAAATCTTGATTAAAATCCTAGTTTTAAAATTTTTTTAAAAAATCCTAAAAACCATAACATTCTTATAAAATCTTTTAAAATTTGTTAAAATTCACAAGACTTTTTCATGCTAAAATTATCTTTCGAAATCTCAATCCAATACACCCTCCTAAATATACACTTCTAAATACTTTTGATTATTAAAATATTAAATATTGAATAACTTAATGTTTTAAATATGATTAATATACTCTTTTTTAAAATATATATATATGTATATATATATATATATATATATATATATATTTAATATTGGTTATAAATAATT